ATGTTAATTAAAGCACTTACCTTAAATGATGTCTCTTAATCCGATCTTCTTCTTTCCTGATGTTTTCATCTGTCCCTCCAGCGGTGCGGCGGCTCTCCGATCCAGCGCTGACTGCTCTGTCCTTGCTGGCACTTCCTGTCCCACGGTGTCTGCATGCGGGTGCACGAGACCATAGACTTACCTTGTGTCTCTCCTCGTCTCCTGGCCGAAAATGTGAACTGCGCATGCGCCCGCCCCAAGATGCTTTGCGGTCGCCTGAGAATTTTCAGATTTTTGGACGGGAGCGCGCGGCGAAGACACAGGTGAGTTTTAAACCGCTTTTAAAGCGTTTAAAAATAAAATTTTTGCATACATCTACTGCTTGCTAGCAGTAGATATGTTTTTTTTAAAAAGCAGAGGGTCTAATAACCCTTTAAATGTTAAAAAGGTTTTTATGCCATTTCAAATCGCTTACAATGGATGCTGCTCCTTGTATAAAAGTTTTGTTTCCTGCAGAATCAGCTGGCCCCCTAAGCACTGGCAGGGTCGTACGGAGCCACCCTTGCGTATGCTAGTAAGCTGTGTGTCTTCACAAACACAGCAGGGCAAGCTACTTCCCTCCCCTGCTCCCCTCTCCTCCTTCCTCCCTTTTTTTTTTCTCCCTTCCCCAAGCTAGTAGATTGACAATTGCTGGAGCCTGCTGTGTGCCTTGTGATCTTGTACTAGACAGGAAGTTCAGGGAGGCTGAGCAGAGAGAGTTGGAGTCAGCTGTTTTGAAATATGTTTAGGAAAACATTAAAAGAAATACTTTGCAGGGTAATGTAAAATGGCTATACAAAGTCTACACACCCCTGTAACAATACCAGGTTTTTGAGATGTAAAAAAAAAAAAAATCCGATCAAGATAAATCACTGCAAATTTTTTCCACCTTTTAATGTGACCTATAATCTGTACAACGGAATAAAAACAAACTAAAATCTTTAAAGGGGGAAAAAATAAGAATAAACTTACAATAACAATTTGATTTTATGACACCATTCAGTCTTTTGAGGTAGGAGTCTATCAGCATGGCACGGCACATCTAGCCTTGGGAATCTTTGCCCACTCGTCCTCACAATCTGACAGAGTTGCACAACTTTTTGTTAGGAAATCTCCTGTGCACAGCCATTTTCAAGTGACACCACAGATTTTCAATTGGGTTCAGGTCTGGGCTGAATCTTCTTCTGGGGGAAGCCATGCCCCTGACTGATACCGTTCAATGATGAGATCCCTTTGATGCTTTGTGAGCTCTTTGAGGACTATGGCTTTTGCTGTAAGAGGCAACTGGGTAAATGTCAGAGAAATCTGACTAGAATAGCAGACATTTTATATGGGCTTAATCAGAGTCACTTTAATTGATGGCAGTTATGTACTACTGACTACTATTTAACATCAGCTTGCCATAATCCTTGAATTTCAAAGTATACAACGGTCATTCCCCAAAGTTGGACAACACCGGCCCAACCAGTCACATTAATCGGGTGCAGGCTCCAAAAATACATGCTGGCTTAACAAAATCGGGGAATTCCAACATAGAGCCGCACATCCGACAGTTGATTCAATAAATCAGTTTTTAAGTCCATACCATCCAAGTACACAGTAAAATCTTCCCCCGATCCAATAGCGTCTCATGAGTTCCACCATAATCATAGAGAGTTTGAATGATCAGCTTGCCATATCCCTAATTATAAAGGGTTGTACACTTAAGCAGCCACATTATTTATTTCCTTCACTAAACAATTTCAGTTTGTTTTTTTAATTGAATTGTACAGATTATGGGCCACATTAAAGGTGGACAACCTTCAGAAGTGATTTTATCTTGGTCTGTTATTTTTTTTTATCTGCATCTCAAAAACCTGGTATTTTTACAGGGGTGTGTAGACTATTCATATCCAGTGTATATTTGTTTGATCTGGGTTCATTATTAAAAGAATAATACTACTTAAAGGTCCCTTCAACTTTGCCATTATTAGTGACAAATGTTAGAAACCCATTGTGCTGTCCCTAGTGAATTACTGTGAAATAAAGTTCCCAGGTTTAACACACTCTGGTGGTTTCAGAAGCTGGAAGGCTTGTCTGTGATGTGCTGATGCAGATTAGTACATAGTAGGTATGAGAGGAGACTCTAGGATTAAATTGCTTTGTGACTAATAGCTAGACCAGTGGTGGGGAACCTTGGCACGCCAGCTGTTTTGGAACTGAAAGTCCCATGAGGCATTGCAAGGCTCTGACAGCCACAGACATAACTCCCAGAGGCAGATGCATGTTGGGATTTGTAGTTTTGGCACAGCTGGAGTGCCAAGGTTCGCCACCACTGAGCTAGACTATAGCCTCTGAAGGGAACAAATATTGCCCATTGAATGAGATTTGTTTAATCTGGATAGTGTTTCTTTCATACAGTATATCCAAAGAAAATCGCTATTCCTTTTGCACATTTACTACTGAATTATCTGTTTTCTGCTGCGTCTGTGGTTCCTCCGTCTGTGGTTCCTCATAACACATATCACTATAGACCATGGTTATGTGACCTGTATAGAAGAGCCTGCACCACCACAAAATTTAGTGTGCAAAAGAGGTGGCCAAGACCCACAGACAGAAGAAAAAAGGCCTTATGACTGTCACTACACCAAAATTAGCATTTGATAGGATAGATGGGTTTAACAGTTGTATTTGAATATTTAAAGGACAACTTCACATTTAGGTGGAAAGGTAGTAAAATACTACTGCCAGAAGAGCTGCCTCTTGATAGGCGGTGCCAGCTGTCACTCATGCAGCTGGGTGGATTTCAACAGTATTTTCAGGATCCGTCTCGGCTGCGGCACTCTCAGCAATAGTAAAACAGTAGAAAGGCATCATGGCACACTCACAAACCAGCATGTAAAACAACTTGTCTCACCACTAAGGACAATAACAGAGGTTTGGATACACGTCTCCAGCCGAGGATGTGAAAGCCGCACTGCCGTGCCAAGGCACCTCTTATAGTGCGGTCCTAACTCTAAACTATGAGAGTCTCCATCTTGGAGCACATGGGGGCAGAAGATATCAAATTGGGTGCAGGTTTGTCAGGAGGACGCCCCACCTCCTTAAAGGTACAGAAACACACAAGGGTTCCCGCACATCCTATTGGCAGCTGAGAAACCCCATGCGTCGCTGCACCAAATCGGTCAAACAAAACAAACGACAAACGCACTCAACAATTTGTTACCAGTTATACAGTAAGGTGCACACGAAATGGGCTTTGAACAGTAAAACAGTAGGAAGGCATCATGGCACACTCACAAAACCAGCATGTAAAACAACATGTCTCACCACTAAGGATAATGACAGAGGTTTGGATACACGTCTTCAGCCGAGGATGTGTAAGCCGCACTGCCGCGCCAAGGCACCTCTTATAGTGCTCACCTCTTATAGTACTCTCAGCAATAGCCCGCGTTATACTGAGCTTTGGTACAAATGTCAAATGTCCTGTAGCACACCTTACCGGAATGCCCATAAACAAAGGTGGGTGCTCGCAGTGACTTAGGATGGCGCCGCATCAAGAAATGTCACCAGCATGACAAAGACGGCAATTGCAGTGAATCTTCATTTTTATTTGTCAGAAGTCACAAAAGTAGAATCAAGCACTTTCGGGGCCGCACAGGGTCCCCTTCCTCCCGAAAGCGCTTGATTCTTCTTTTGAGTGACTTCTGACAAATGAAGATCCACTGACATTGACGTGTTTGTCATGGTGGTGTGCTGCTGACATCTCTTCACAACATACTGAGCTTTAGGTCACAGGATAAGGTTAGTATATGTCCTCCCATGACCCCAAAGAGAACTATGGGGGAAAAAAAAACACTTACCCCCATAGTTCTCTTTTAATGATTCCACAATGCATCTTAAGAATATAGAAGAATATCCTCACAATGACATGACATTGTATAAATCAAGGAAAACCTAATCACCCAGAATTTAAACTATAATTCAAAATATGGCAAAATGTTTTATATCTACATAGATATATACACACACCTACACACAGCACCTCATGGGACTGTGTTTATAAACATTTGCAGAGCCATTATTGTCCTGTGAAATTGCATGTATATTTGTTCTGTGTAAGACAAATGTTATTAGTATATTTTCTTTCCATGTCAAAGGTTATATCAAGAAAATACCAGTCTATAGATGGAACTGAGGAGCATAGGATATAAATACTTCTTTCCTGTGCTCCTCTACTCCATCTAAAACCCTAATGCCATATTTTCCTGATATTACATTAGACCTGGAAAGAAAATATTCTAACAGCATTCGTTTTTTGCCTCCATTTGTACAGAACAAATTTCTCTGCAAATGTTTTTATGAATACACCCCAAGGTGTAAGAAGGTATAGGATATAAGTGTGCCATCAGGCCTGTGGAAGATTTCTGATGCCTGTGATAGAAGTCCTTGGAAATGCTTCTCAACAGCTGCATAGTATTTTCATGCATATAGAGGCAGTGATTAACAAATGCAAGCTTCTGACAACTGTCTTCAAAGTCTGTTAAGTGCTTGCTCAATGCATAACAAATGTGTCCCAATGCTACACCAAAGGACCATGTGACCTAGCCTTAATGTAGTGGAAAGCAACTGCCAACAGGGAAAAGCCATCCAAAAATGAGAGAAAACACTGGCAGAACCAAGAGAAGGTTGGCTGCTAAGGATTGGCACTCTACCTTGTAATGTGGAGGGCCCTAGCACTCACTCATTACTTGGCTAATGCAGTTTTTAGGACATTTTCTTTTAACTACAGTGGTTTTAGAACTAGAACATACTATGGAATGCAGCTTTGAGCATTTGGGGTTTAAGATTGTGTCGTTGTCTTTTGGGTATATCGGCAACATAAGGCAATAGATTACATTATGCAGTATAGGACAACAAAGAAGTACCTGTAATCTACAATAATATTTGCATACAAGTCTTGATACTGGATCCTTGGTCCTGTTTCATCATGCAACCATTGAGATTTGAATGTAAAAGGAAAGTGACCTGTGGGAGACACAGTAATGTATTTTTGTTTGTTTTAGGCCCCATTCACACCTAGGCATAAAGCGCACGTTTTGTTGAAGCACACCAGCTAGGGTGTTTAGCACGGTTTTGTGTGTTTTGCAAATGTTTACATGCGCTAGAAGTGCATGTACAAAGATGCACATTTTATTGAGCAGATTCAAATGCATTGTGGTAAATGAGCAATTGTGCACACACAATATGTGTGTGTGTGGGGGGGGGGGACACGCTGTAATCTGCTCAAGTGCTAATCTGCTCAAAAGGCTCAAATACCTTTGCCGGTGTTCAGCGTTATGCGGCTTGCAACAAAACTCTCAGGTGTGAACAAGGGCCATAGAAATGAATGGGATTTCTTGTGTTGAGAGTTTTGTTGCGCTTAAACTGCCCAGGTGTGAACAGGGACTAAGTGTTTCCGCTTCATTCTTTATTTATTTTATTATTTGTGCAGTAGTGCAGATTTAAGGGAATTGTCTTATCCATCACATCTCAGGCCCTGGCTTTCATGTTACCTCTGCCAGAAGGAGTGCTAGTTCCAGAGCAGACATGCCACTGTATGTCATGCTACAAAGAGGAGTCCTACCCTGGAACTAGCGCTAGTCTGAAGAGGGAGATGGATGTCCTGACAGATTCCCTTTTAAGCCTTTAACCCTGGAGCCCCTCTCCCCCTCTGCTGCAGCATTCTAAGGTCCCATAAATCAAGTTCTATAGGGTTAGGGTTATAATTGGCCAACTAATCGATTATGAACATAATCGTTAGTTGCAGCCCTAGCTGCAGCTATTAGGCGGTTACGACCATGGGATGCAGGCTACATTATTTTGGGCTTCACGGTGTGACTCTTATTTTCGTTGCAAGCTCGGGCACGTTTTATTTTGCCACCCTAGCTCCCTACCATGGATGGTCCACCACCCATGCGTCCGCACAAGCCCCTTCATTGGGGGCTACATTGCGCTTGCCTCTCACCATGTTGGATGTCTCAGGAGAACATTTCTTTTTTTCTTTTTGACAGCAACCAACCATTTATTTTTTGAAATATTAAGATTATAATGTATGTTTCGGTTGGAGATGGCCTTTAACATTTACACTCCATTCTATGTAGAGTAAGCTGCAGAGATGTACAAAACACATACTGATAGTAACCAGAACAAGATGCGTCAGGCCAGCACTATGAGCCACATACCTTTATAATCTACAACTAGTTAAGCTCTCCGAGATGTTACTTTGTCTATAGCCAATGTAACTCTGGATATTAATGACACTTCCAGATTCCTATAGCTGTGGGCTTTTTACTACTTCTAATTTAAGTCATGTCTGCTTTCGGGAGTACATTTCTAGTGTATGCCTTTCACTCTTACACACTGCACGGAGGATCAGGGCAATACCTCTGGGTTTGCAAAAAACGTTTTAAAAAAAACTTTGGTATTCACGCTTGTGGATACCACCCTTCCCCAAAACAAACTAAAGGAAAAGATTATCATCATGCATTAAAAGCATTATCACATTATAATTGCATTGTGTGAGGCACAATTTTTGTAAGCAGATGGGATTTGAAGCAAGATTCTACCACAGCAGTGTGCATTCCAGGATTGGAAAATAGGCAATCATTTCTGCTAAACAAACTAGTAGACAAAACACACAATTATAAAAGGCTTTTTTGTTTGTATTTTGTTACGTTAATTGTGCTGAAAATTTACATTTTCACTTCCAGGGGTTGTGTTTTATATATGGAGGGAGTCTTCTTTAAAAGTATTTTACCTGCCTTCCATTCACCTATAACCTCCAACACTGGTTCTGTACCATGCCCAGCAGTACAGACAGTAACACATTGCACTAAAAGGTTAGTAAGAGAAAACATTGAGAAAAAAAACCAAACAAAATGATTCAGTCTTCTCACAAGTAAGCTTCTGGGACTTCTGCAATCATATTTATTAGGAAAAGATTATCATGCATTACAAGCATTATCACATTACAATTGCATTGTGTGAGGCACAATTTTTGTAAGCAGAACAAACTCCTACACAGTGCACGGAGGATCCGGGCCATAACGCTGGGTGTTCTGAGGTCTGCGGTGTCCCGAGCAGGACAGTTTAACCCATTCTTCTCCTCTGTACCGATCATGAGTACCCCGTTTGGGGATCCCCTCACTCCCTCATGGTGGATGACAGACGCAAGGGGAATGAACCTATGGGCATGGCCAACAGCTCAGAGGGGGGTCTAGTCATAGCCTACCCCCTCTTCTTCCCTCTTGAGGACCCCTGTTTGATCACTCATGATCAATACCCTCTGCTAACTCCCCTCCTCTGTTCTGATCCTTCCGTTACTCCCTCGAGCTCCCCACATTCGTTCTGTCTAAGCAGGGAGGATTTCTCAGCTATGTCTGATTTTATGAAAAAAAAGTTGGCCCTTTTGGACACTTCACAACGTAAGGGTCACAAACAAAATATCAACCCTTTTTCACACCTTGATGTCATCAGCAAAATGACATGCCTTTAGTTATATCACTTACAAACAGAGTAAATAGAACAGGATGTACTACAGAGCCTTGTGGTACACCACTAGTGACTGAACTTTGTTCTGAATCAACCCAGTTTACAATCACATGCCGATGTCTTTCCTTTAGCCAACTGCATAGCCAACAAATCACCCACGTGTAAGCTCCTACCTTTTAAGACAAGACAAAAAAAAAAAAGTTATTTTTTTCACTTGAGTTCCACTTTAATCATTTTAAATGTATAACTGTAATACAGCCAACTGTTGAAAGAAAGAATCCGGGAGCAAAACATGAACAATATAGGTGATGTTATGTACAATGGTAATTTGAATAATACAGGAAAAACAAAACAGTGGTTGGCTGCCAGTTCTGTTGATGTGTCTTTTCTTTCCAAAGCCATTTCTTATAGGGTCTGACTCCATACACAAAGTTCTGTACTTTTCCACAAATGTTTAAATAAACAAAACTTCCACTGCTGAAAGAAGATCTGGAAAAATTCAGTTCAGTGCATGTTTGTTCTTCATGTTTCAGCAGTGACAGGCTGGTGGACTGAAGAAAAATCAAAACCACTAACACAATACAGTACCATGGGATTTGAAGCAAGAATGATTCTACTGCAGCAGTGTGCATGCCAGGCTTGGAAAATAGGCAATCATTTCTGCTTAACAAACTAGCAGACAAAACACACAATTATAAAAAGGCTCTTTTCTTTGTATTCTTTTACGTTCATTGTGCTGAATATTAACATTTTCACGTCCAGGGGTTGTGTTTTATATATGGAGGGAGTTTCTCTTTAAAGTATTTTACCTGCCTTCCATTCACCTATAACCTCCAACATTGGTTCTGTACCATGCCCAGCAGTACAGGCAGTAACACATTGCACTGCTGATTGCTCCAAGTGAAAAGGTTAGTAAGAGAAAACACTAAAGAAAAAAATTATTCAGTCTTCTCGCAAGTAAGCTTCTGGGACTTCTTCGTCTGACAAGCTGCTTCTTGGGCTGCCACCGCCAGGAGGATTGTTTGTGTCTTCTGTAAGTGCTTTCTTGATTTCTTCCGACTGAATGGTAGTTAGTAGGGCTTCTGCCTTAAGAGCAAGTTCACGTATCTCTTGTATTTGTGTCTGGACCAGCTGGATGTGATTTCGCACTGTCACAGAAGCTTGATCAGCACCTGTAGAATACATTACAGTTAACCACCGGAATTACATAAAACCCTGTCATAATACAAACATGTAAACTGACATTACTGACCTCTCCTGAGCATGATAGTTTCCTGGCTGTTGACTTCAGTGCTTTCTAAGTCACTGACATGAAACATGTATACAGATCAGGTCCTAAACCAAGCTACATATTTATTCTAGATCTCCGATTAGGCAATTTGCCTTTTCAGAAGGAAGTCAGAAATAGCAGTCCATGAATTTCTTAAGTGTTAAATTCCATTTACAGTAAATATGTGCCACAAAAGTAAAAAGAAATGAATCACATACATGCTTATAGTTCTGAAAACTGGTATTAGCATTTCAAAATAGCTCTCAGGAGTAGTAGTTAAGAGTACCAGCCATCCCACTTATCTTTAATTCCCAGCCTCTGGGAGGGATTATCAGGCACAATGTGGAATAGAGTCCTTGTGCAATATTAAACATAATTATGGTACATTTACAATTAGGGCCATACACCTATAGATTATCTGCAGATTTTCTGTGGTCAGATGGAAAAAGTGCAACAGATTCTTCCATCTACGCTAAACTGTGTGGATGGAAGAATCTCCCACTGGGCCAAGCTTCAGTATCTTGTTAGTCGCCCCGCTGGCTCTCAAAATACCTGAACAATCTGATTGGATGCAGGCATTGTTCAGGTGTTTTGAAGCCAGTGGGGCTGACTAGCAAGATACTGAAGCTTGGCCCAGTGGGAGATTCCTCCAACCACATAGTTTAGTGTAGATGGAGGAATCTGTTGCACTTTCTCCATCTGACCACAGAAAGTCTGCAGATACTCTATAGGTGTATGGCCAGCTTAAGTGTGATGAATGGCAGTTTTTGTGCATTGGATCAATAGCAGTCACTGTAAGAGCACATATAAAATAATTGTTTTCTATATGCCCTGTTCACACTGCAATGTTGCCTTCAGGTGGACAATGCGCCAGAGCTCACCTGATGTCAGCACCACACCACAGCTCTGCTAGATTATAGAATAAAATATAACTTCTACATTTTAATAAAGCAACGCAAGGCGCTGCCTCTCACAAGCCAACATAATATACACCCTGTAAATTATAGGAATAAGAAATGTCAATCAAAAAAGAAATAAGTCCTCCAACAAGTACAGCATTATATCAGTATGATTCTGTATGCAGCTCTTACCAGCTTGGTAAGCCGCTTCTGCTGCCATCTCAGAGATGCGCACAGCCCGTGTCCAGTTGGCCTCGTATTTCAAATATTCTTCCTGCAGCTTCTTTATCTAAAAAGCGAAATGTAAGTGTCACTGTGCATAACCTAAAACTGTGCTGCACACAACTAAGTTGCTGGGATTAACACACAAGCCTGAAATCATCTCTGTATTGGTGCTGACACTGTCCTTCCTTCTGGAGGGTGGCTACTTTTGTTCCCCGTGGTCCCTGTGTGTGTTATAAAGTAGTCGCCGCTCCAATCTCACTCCTGTAATGGAATACAATCTCACGCTTATTTTACTAATGTGTATTGAGATTGTATCCCATCACAGGAGTGAATTTGGAGTGATGACTACTTTACAACACAAACAGGGACCATGGGGAACAAAAGTAGCCCCCCTCCAGAAGGAAGGACAGTGTCAGCACCAATTCAGAGATGATTTGAGGATCCACAGCTGAGTGCTAAAAAAAAAAGTATCTTATTTGTGTAATAGTTTGGTTACTTAAATATATTTTTAAGATTTAACTTCTGAGTTTAGTGTCACTTTAAGTAATAAAGAAAGAATGTACAAAAATCACAACCCACATTCCCTCACTACACAACAGGGACACAAAACAACCAGGAAACTATTTTTCATTAACATTTCCGAGTTTCTTTTCTATTAGTTTTAACCCCAGCTTCTGACTAAAAGGGCTCAGAAACCCCTTACAAGGTTACATATAAAGAGGGCATGAGAAGAACAAAGAAAAGGGGAAACTAGGGGACCTGAGATAAAGAGAGAAGACTGACAGAGGCAGAAGAAATAAATAGAATAATACATATTAAGCAACAAGGGATATAAAGGTTAAGATTAAAGGTTTTTCTTTAAAAAATGTGCAATGGAGACTACTAAGGGGAGAGGGAAGGGGATGGGAGAGGGAGGGACACATATAAAGGTTTCTGGTATAGATAAGTCTTGGAAATAAAAGGGATGTATATTAGACATAGATATACATGTATGTATATGGATATATGAAATAAGGCTTTCTTATATCAATGTTGTTATATTATATCTGAAACCAAATAAAATCTTATTGTATAAAAAAAATAAAGAGGGCATGAAAAATCCGCTCGTCCTCTCGTCAGTGACGAGAGGACGCCGGAGCCGGATGGGTAGCTTCCTGGCCGGCAGTTGCAATTACACGGCTGGCAGGGAGTTTCACATTCAATCGATCGAGCATCTCTAGTAACACCCGATCGCTTGTATTAGGAGCAGCCGTTGCTGGTCCTGAGATCCGCTGTGCCCGGTGCAGCTGGGACCGGCATGGCTGCTCTGACAGGAGATCGGTACACGATCTCCCCTTCAGCCCCGAATGCGGTAAGTGATGTATATTACATCACTTCCGCATTCTGCTGTCACTCTCCAGCTTCAGAAGATGGTGAAGCAGATCTCTGCTTCATCAGCTTCTCTGGGGGTCCCTAGGTGACATTAGGGGTCTTGGAGACACCGGATGTCTCCATAAAGAGGATCTGTCATCAAATAGGGGGGTTCTTAGCACCCCATGTGATAGCAATAGAGTCAAGTGTAAAAAAAATAAAGAAGCAAACATGCGTCGAGTGCATCTACGCGCCTATTGTGACGATTGCGCCTATTGTGCCGCACATGTTACATATCACCACGAACGCTGGAGTGAGATAAATAATTTTAGGGCCATTAATCACTGATAACACTAAACTAATGAGCAGTAAAAGCGTTTAAAGAGTCGCCTATGGCCAATTTTCGGTGTGGTCGTTTTTTGCGATTTTGCGGGCGCACGCAATTTTAAGGCTTGACATGTTTGGTGTTTATTTACCCGACGTGACCTCGTCTTTTATATTTTACCAAAAATAAGGGTAAGAATAAATGTTTTTTTTTAACATAACGTAGGGAAAACTTTTTGGTTAGAAATTTAGGGTACTTTTTTTCATTATATAGTAAAAAAATAACCCCCCCAGTGGCGATTATATATCGCCAAAAGAAAGCTCTATCTGTCCATAAATTTTTTTTACATATACTGCAAGGCTATAGTCTGTTCATGCTGACTGGTGAAACACCCTAAAATTTTTCAAGCCTTCCATATCAATATAAAATATAAAGCCATATGTCTGGCTGTCACAGATTGGGGAAAAGGTGGAAAAAGAAACTATTTTTTGAACATTTACCAGTACACTGGCCAAGAACACAAGATCTCAACTCAAGACAAAGGAAAGCGCACAGATTTTCACAGTCATGCACTTTAAAGCTTAGCTAAACTAGTCGCTTCATCTGCAGTGCCAGTGAAGACAGATACAAAACAGACTCAGAGCATTAAAAAAAAGTATTCATTTTATATGTAATATCACACAAAAGATGAGAAGTAGATATATACTAAAATTTACAAAAAGGTTAAAATAAGAGACATACCGTATATACTCGAGTATAAGCCGAGATTTTCAGCCCATTTTTTTGGGTGACAAAATCGCTTGTTTTAAGAATAAATAGATTTTTTGTTTAAATGATTACTCAAGTACTCTATTGTTATAGGGGGATAGAAGAAATGGGCTCTGTGGGTGATATCTCACTGGTTTAAGGACAGGCTAGTATATGGGGAGGAAGGCCGAGGGCAGGACAATACAAGTGTAACTACACCAAAGATGCAAAAAAAAAAAAAAAAAAACTAGAAAAAATTTGGT